CACCTTGTTGTTGAATTGTGCTATACAAATAAACTTGCCTTGCCTTGCCTTAAAAAAGCTCAGGATGACTCATAGGTAAGGACGGGAATTAAGAACTGGTTCTTGTAGAGAAGTGGTTCCCAGTAGTCCAGCTGTATGGAATTGTTAGTCTGTTTGCCGATCGATCCTGCTTATGGAGTCTTGTGCTCGTGCATCCAGAAACAGCTCCATCATGCTGCTGACACAACTTCAGCTCTTTACATGCACCTGCACAGACAGCATGCTAACGCTAAGCCAGCCAAGAACCCGGAGTGATATGCTGCTTAGAGGTGTTTTTGAGCCAGAATCGATCACTAACATCTCACTGATTCCCATTCCTACTCACAGGTTGCGGATCTCTGATCTGGCCTCCTCCAGCAGACTGTGCCCATAGCGAGGCAGCAGGCCAGTCGGAGGTCGTCCTCCTCCCTCCAAACTCCTCGTACCTGCAGGAGATGAATTCACAGAGGGAAGATGGTAAAAGTTAAACAGAGAGAAAGAAAACACGCAGTTCGTGGAGCGTGATGGCAGAGAAGCTCTGGAGATGCCGCAGAACTCACTTTTAGGTCGTATTAAAGACGGAGACGACATGTCGTCTCTGAACTTCTTCAACCCCGTGTTGACTCGCGGCTGGATGCGGTCGTATGGCGTCGGCCTCTGGCTCTGACAATTGATGAGTTGATGCTTTGCCACCAGGAGGCGCTGTTTCAGCCCTTCGTTTTCGGCCTGCAGGGCCCGGACCTTCTCGTGGAGCTCCTCCATCATCTCCTCCATCTCCACGTCTCGGACCCTGGAGGATGGGGCTGTCCCTGCTGCCAGCTGCTCCATGCGGTCACGGTTGTTCATCAGCCTCTTCAGCTTTGTGCTCAGTCTGCAGAGAGACAGTTAAATTAAATGGTATATTGTTAGACACATTAAAGATTCTGGAGCTTTTTGTGTAGAAAAATATTATTGAGGAAATAAACGTGTTCTCTTTAAAGACGTGCTTTTGTTCAGTGATAAAAACGCCCCGGGCACATGGGAGAAGCCTCACTTCTTGATTAGATCATCCCGTTTGTGGCTGTGCTGTTTGAGCTGCAGCGTCTCCTCCTGCAGCCGCAGGAAGCGGTCCTCCAGCTCCTCCCGGGACACACGCGAGATGTCCAGCCGCGCACGGGTGTGCTGATAGGTCGACGACTCTGTGAGCAGAAATCAACAAATTAGCAGGTGAACAAACTGTACCACATAAAACAGAGCACTGGATTTAACCTAAAATGTAGGTTAGAATTCAACGTTTTAGTCATGCAACTGTCTGCTGGTACGTGGAGGACTCTGAAACAGCCTGATGAGTGTGGACACACCTGGTGGAGCCGGTGTGAGTCTGGAGAGGTCCACCGTGACGTCCTTGACCGGCACATCTGCTGCCGTCTCATCCCGGAGGGTTGACATGTTTCAGCCTGGACAGAAGATTCAACCGTCGGTGGCGGTTACAGAAAGCTTTACGCCTTTTATAATTCATCTCTGAAGATAAATCTCTCAGTGAGGTTAAAAACACAATCGGCACAATGAATAAAAATACTTTACAATGAAAACTTAATCAGCAGCACTTCACTTTAAAGACGCCTCTAATAGCGCGGTGTTAAACGGACTGTTCACCATTTCAAAAGCACCAAAATTCAAACAGCCCAGTGTGTTACATGTATGCCGAACTTAAAACCGGCTAATTCCGATGTTTCCGAGTCTTCGACGATAATTACGAAGCCACATTTAACGCTACTTTCGACCGTGAACATTAAAACGTATAGAATTTAAAGGTAGTCTGGTACCGAGCGATGATTTAACAAAGCAGCGTTATCTTTGACCAATGGGACACACCAGATTAATATCAGGTAAGTAAATTAAAATATATATTATGCGTACGTGGATGTATTTTACTGAAAAGCTCTGAATCTATCGTGTTTTTTTCCGCGTTAGCAGCAGTAGCTAACGAGCTAGCGGAACCGTCTAATTATCAGATTGCGTGTCGCCTCAAACGCTCGTGACTGCATATTTACTTCTGACTTGTTTCCGGTCATTTTTCTGGTAACATCTGACGCATTTCTTACCTTTTACAACGACTTTATTCAGTTTAACTCGCGGTTGCTACTGAAAACATAAACGCTCATCACGTCGTTATGGTACAACAGCGCACGCGCTGTGCGAAGAGCCTTCTGGGAGTTGTATTTTTTGTTCGTCTTTTTTTTAGCAGTCAAAGGCTTTCCTAGCTTATATTTCCCCCTAGAATATGACACCGTATAAACCACCAGTGATTAAATGCTCTTAAAGCTGTTTCGAGTTTAATAAGAAGGACTTTTGTTTGTGAATGTGTCTGTTTCCTGCTGATTTTCATGCAGAAACCCTCTCTCCTGTCTGTCAGCTGTATCTCTGACTCTGGGCCAATTTGGGGACTTTGTCTGACCTGACTTTACATGTTAGCGTATTTATGAGCAGTGTGGCTCACTGCTGCACACACATCTGCGGGGATTTGATAGGCGTGCTGTCAGACGCATGCCTTTCATGAACTGGCGATGGATCTAATTTAGGACCCTGAGATGAGCGTCGGCAGGCCAGGATAAGCTCAGTCGGCATGTCAGTGTTTGCTGGGCCGTGACAGTCTCCCATCACTGCTGCTGCTTCTTCCAGGCATAACCTTTGAACCCTCCTCCCCGCAAACACACCTTCCCCCGTGTGTTCGGCCTGCGGCGAGCAGGCGCGGATCTGTCAGCGAGTCAGCCTGTCGTTGAAATCTATGATGCCTGCTGGCTTCTTGTTCAACAGGCCGTGCCCACGTTGGTGCAACAACTGTCAAGCACATGATCAGACGAGCATGGAGGCCCGTCTTAGCCTCCTATTGTAATATAGGCAGATTTCCCCTCAAACATCCAGTGAATAAAAGCCATGACTGGCTTTTATTCAACTGGAGCCACGGGGGGGAGGTCAAAGTCTGTTACTGTCAGGCGCTGAAAGGAGAGGCCAGATCAGCCGCCTACTGTAAATCTGCTTCTTCTTTCAGCTGCTGCATTCATAGCTCCACTGCACAGCGGATCATCTGCCTCCATCTCCTCCTATCCCAGCATCCTCCTCCGTCTGAGCTCTTCTCCTCCTGCCTGGCAGCTCCATCTTCATCCTTTTTTATCAGTAATAGTCCCTGCACCCACCTCCTCTCACTGATCTGCATCGTCGTTATCATACGATCCTGTGACTGTCCCAGATGTGACACTAGATGGCAGCTGGTTAACGTGTGAGCAGCTGAGGATCCTCCACCGGTCACAGTAATGATGACGGCAGTGAGCCTCTGTGAGGACAAATCACTCGGCTAATCTGATGACACAGATGAAGTCGCAGCCTCTTTAACAACCAGCTCAGAATTTAATGGGGAGTTATGTGGTTCAGACAAAACGTGAGGGAAAGAAAGAGAGAGACCTCTGAGTGCTCAACATACAGAAGATGCATAATTATGTGTCTGAAACAGGGGTGGGCAATCTCACCTTGGGTCAACACACCTGAATCACATGATTAGTTCCTTACCAGGCCTCTGGAGAACTTCGGACATGTTGAGGAGCTAATTTAGCCATTTAAACCAGCTGTGTTGGTTCGAGGACACATCTAAAACCTGCAGGGACACCGCCCCTCGTGGACTGAGATTGCCCACCCCTGGTCTAAAAGCATGAAGACAGGAAACAGAGCTGGGCAGTAAAACTGCTGCAGGATGACTTTGATACTGAGCAGCCTGTAGAAAAAGGTTTGGAAGAAGGTGGGACTGAAAATCTGACAGAAAAACTGAAAATAGATGCAGAAAAATGTTTCAGATTAACAACATGTTAGCTGCTGTTGGTCACCACAATTCGCATATTAATGATCAAAGAACTGAGCTCACAGTTCATTCAGTGGTGCTGGTTTCAGTTATTGTGCAGATGTTTACAGGGTTGGAGACCTGCAGTCAGCTGACACTGAAGAAGTCACCTGATGATGCTGAAACTGAAAACATCCAGATGAACAGGATCAACTTTCTGGGATTTCCTGACCTGGATGACTGAGCACGCCTGAGACAGTAGTCTGGATATTATAGAGCTATTTCTTATACTCTGTGAACTTTGTAACATATAGTTTTATTTCATTTAGTTCAGTGTGTTACTGTCTGATGTAAATTATTGTTATAATGAATAAACGGTGGTAATCCTGCAACAGTGTAAACGAACAGACGCTACAAATACTGTAAATATGAACAGAGTAATTACAGTAACTGAAAATACAGCACATTATGCTGATGATATATTTTGCTGTAAAAAGTTTGTGCAGTAACTTTTTTAAAGTAACCGACTGTGTTACCTGTGCAGAGTGTACGACCATCCTCCCCACATACTGTTCGTCATGGAGCACATCACTGACTCGCTGTCAGTGTTCCTGTTCCAGGAATGAAGGAGAACTCCTTTGACGCCTGCTGTGAGTAAAGCTGCTTTAGTGGCCTCGCTCTGGCCCCCGAGCCATACATTTAGCACCTCTGGTCTGAATGTCATAACTAGTAAAAACCCAAAGACTTGTTCAGAACCAAAACTTCGTCTCAGTTTAATTAGTTTTATTTCCACAGCTTCACACAAAGAAACCTGTTGTTTGATTGACTGTCATGTGATCAGCAGTTTGTTCTGGACTCGGTTTGAGGAGAAAGCAAGAGGAGCGTCTGGGATCTGACGCAAACATCGTGTCAGGAATTGAACACACCTTCTGTTTATCTTCCATTATAAGTAAAGTTATTGAGACGAACCTGACATGGTCGGGGTGTACGAGTCACCTTTGGAGCCATCACAGGACGTGCATGTGCAGGACTTCCTGTTTGGGAGCAGAACTGTTCTGCTTTTTGCAGAATTTGAACTATTTCTCTTGTTTTCAGTTAAAATGTCAGAGCGCAGGGAGCAGCTGGTGATGAGTCCGCAAACATGAAACCGCAGACAGCACGGCGCTCATCCTGATAACTCATCACACAGTTATGTTTTTGGTACTCAGCGTGTTTAAATATGTAAATTAGACGCCCGAGCCACATTTTCCTAATGTTTACAACATCAGGGAGCAAAATAGTTTCCACGTTGTGTTTGTCCTCTCGTCAGTAAAATATCAGGAAGTTTAGTTTTTTAGTTTTCCTCAGTCCAAGCTCACTCTCGCTGACAGCTGACAGCGTTTCCTGTGGTGCTGACAGCTGCTCACTACTGGTCCGAGAGCAGCAGGAGCAGTAATCAGAGTATTTCGTTAGTAATCAGAGTAGTTGATGGAGCTGGTTGTTGGTTGGATAAAGAACACTTCATTTGCAGTGTGAATGTGCCCTCCGAGCAGAGGACATGTGACCTTGTGTGTCGGGGGTCACGCCTCGGGCGGCGCCGCCGCTCTGACAGACGTGTAAACAGGTGCAGCCGTTGTTGCAGCGACAGCTGATCTCAGTTGGCACCTGAGCCGAGCCAATTAAACCGGGCCAGTTGGGGCGGCCCTCTGTGACTGTACGGCAGCACGTTTGGGCCGCTGCGCCGAGGCCTCCTGACGTCGTTAACGTGGGCGGAGACAGCAGCGGGAGAGGAGGAAGTGGCTCGGGAGAGACGAGGGGAGATTTATGGTAATGAGATGAGCTGCAGGGATCCAGCATTGGTCACAATCAGACGGCGAGTCCGAACATTTTTCCACCTCAGGATCAGAACAGCTGGAGACAAAAACGATACCTGTTCAGGTTAAAGGCGGAGCTCTCTTCAGCGTGTTTCCATAACATGCCGTCATGTGTTCCGAATGGTGAAGTAGGGAGAATGAAGCAGTTCCTTCCTGCTGCTGTTAGTGGTTTGGTGTGGCTATGAGAGGGAGGCTGTTGGAGCAAGCACCACCTCCACCCACTGTGCAGAAGCAGCGGTCCAGGCTGATGGCAGCTCCTGCCTCAGGTTCCTGGGGCCTGCAGTCTCCCGCTCCGGCCCTCACACCTGCCTGCTGAGCGTGGACAGTCTCCACTGACGTCTGTAAGACCGAAGCCTCGTTAAAATAACACGAATACATCACCTCACCAATCACAGCGTTGTGTAGATGCTTTGTGGTCTGGATGGTTATTGATGCCTCAGGTGCTCGAGCCGGTTACTCCTGACTTCCTCTCTGAATCCTGCTCGACCTCTCGAAGGTCAGATTTGCAAGTTTCTCTGTGACAGCAGCTGTCAATGAGTAAGTTGGGGCCATCTTCCTGATGTACTCGTGGATGTTCGTTGTCTCATCCTGGACTGTGGTGCTGACACTCACCAGTCCCCGGCCTCCTTCTGCTTCGCGTACAGTCTCAGGGTCCTGGACTTGGGGTGAAACCCTCCATGCATGGTCAGGAGCTTCCTGGTCTTGATGTCAGTGGCTTCTATCTCCTCCTTTGACCAAATTATTATCCCAGCAGGGTACCTGATCAGGGGCAGGGCGTAGCCCGCATCTTGTTCTTACTCTTCAGCTGACTCCTCAGGACTTGGGTTAGCTCTGTGTTAAAATCATCCGAACTGAATTCACACTTTCACACTGATGTGGTCTGTCAGGGTTTTCTCCTGCGAGACTCTGGATTTCCCATGAACCGCCTGACCCCGCTGTGTGTCTGTCGGCGCCCTGCCACCCCACTGTGTCAGATTTTGGGTGTAAATCCACAGAAACCTGCAGGATGGACTCAGTAAATCCTGCCATTAAGGCTGGCTCGCCCTGCCATCTGGCTCTTGGAACATGTGACCCTCACAGTGTTTGTCTTTAATTATGCCGCCGTGACTCAGCCGACCTCGGCTAACTACATGTAATCAGCTCAGATTTGACTAATGGGCAGAGTTTGATGAGCCCCAGGCTCGCTCGTCTCGACCCGGCTGTTTCTAAGCCCTCGCTGGAAGACCCCAAGTTCATTTGGACCGAAGCACAACAGCCAGTCGGGGAATGTTTTCCTTCCAAAATAAAACCGATAGCTGGAGTCAGTTTCACACCTCACTAACATAAATGTGTAGCTGGTCTTTATTAGTTCTGTCTCTACAGAAGAGAAGATGAATCATTACACACAGTTTCTTAAAGCTGCACGCTCTCTGATGTCCAGCAGGGGGCGACTGGTCTGACTCCTCAGAGAGGAGCAGGAAGCAGGTCCACAGTCACTTCCTCTTTAGATTCACCGAGCTGAGCCAGAGCACCGAACAGTCCTTCACACGCTAAGACCCTGAGACTCTCAGGACCACCTCTGAGCTGTCACCCATCTACCTGTAAACCTCCACACGCTACAGTTACGGGTCATCGGGACGCACAGTGGTTTGTCTCGTCTGTCAGTCTGTGAAGCTGCCAAAGGAGCGTGAACACCACATCCTGTCAGTCTGAGGCTGTTGGAGGGAGTCGCAGAGACGTTTGCAGCTACCGCCTGTTCAGACCCCGGCAGCAGAACGCTTTTAGCGTGTTTAAAGAACACTGTGAACACGTTTTCGAGTCCTTCCACTTTCGTGGCTCGTTGATCTGCTGGTTCTTTGCTCTGCGCTCGAGCGCTCACCTGGCCCCCAAAATGGAAGCTAGGTGAGATTTTAACACGATGGCGTCTGACAGCAACACAGACGGCGCTGGGCGACTTGTGGAGAAGACAGCGCCTTGGATCACGGGAGATAAATCACGC